AAAACAAGAGGAGGCCTAATTATGCCCCAAGCTCAGGACATCCTGTAAGTAGGCTCACAGAGACCCTACAACTCACATATGCTGTCCTAGCAGAGCTCTGGCGAGCGGAGGCCTCAATAAAATAACTCTGTATAGCGAGAGGATGCCTGATGACGCTTGCAGTAGCCAAGGAGTCTCAAACAGAGCCTAACAACTTAGCAAGCTGCCTAGCCGAGCTCTATGAGCAGAGGTCTCAGCTTAACGACTCTCTAAATTGAGAACACCTAACTACGCCCCACACTCAGGGCATCTTGCAGAGAGGCTCACAGCAGTTTTACCAAAGGCAGTAACTAAGGAGACTCACAGAGAGACTACTGCTTAGTAAACTGTCTGAAATAGATGACACATTCACAACCAGCCTCTAATGCCGAACCATCATAAGGCAGATGATGGAAAGAAATATGCTTCCAATAACATCATAGGTTCAGCTTCGGAGATGTCTCTCCATAGCCACCATGGCCGCCATGGATTGAACTATCGCTGCTAAAAACGCCCCAGTATCTCAGAACTCCCACTTGAGATTCCGGACTCCCTCATTGGACAAGCCCATCTTGAGAGGTGTGAATCTTTGCAGGTTTTAAAGGCCGCACTTCATGTGACCCGCACAGTCGGTGGTTTGTTGATTTCCATAAATTTAATTCCTTATGTCTCTTCTCTGTACTGAGTTAAGGTTTAACCCTTTCCTATACCAACGGTATGCGTGTGTGTGTGTATGTGTATGTGTAGATTAGTTTAAGTGTTTATGTAGTTAATAAAACCTTACTTGTATCACACTTGACGTTGTTCATGGTTTTCCCATAACTGGAGTCACTTAATCATGCAGATTTATGCTACAAGCTTTTGTAGAATTGTACAGTAAGGAAGTTATTTCCCTTAACCAGGAAATTAACGTTCTTAGAATTGACAAGACAGTTGACCCTGAGAGGTCAGCTAAATATCTACAGCGGATCTAAATATTCATAATTAATTATAACTAGTTATGATTAATTATTCATATTTCCTCATGAGCTGATTCGTTACAGGCAGTTTGTTTTGTGGCAAGGAGAGCTAAATCTGTGGAATGGCACAGCTCCTCCACTACCACCGGGGGGGAGTCCCTGGTCCAGGTCCTTCAGCAGGTAAGCCTGGTAGGCCTGCAATGTGGCCATTGTGTGCAAAGCTGCCTCTGCCTGACCTGCTGCCACATATGCTCTGCCATAAAGCCATGATGTAACACGCAGCGGCTTAGTCGGCATCTTCAATGCGGATGCCTCACCACCAGAGAGATAGCTAGCCAGCGTCTCTTCAATCAGAGAATTGAAGAACAAACGGTCTCCTAAAAACAAAAAAAAAGAGCATGACGCATTTTACAGGAGTCCTTTTATACTCTCGGCTGCACTAGTTGTGACGTCATAGGCTGCTGCCTGCCTGTGAAGTTCATTGTCATGTTTGGACTCATGCTTCAGACAATGGTAATGCCTGAGGCATTCCACATAGCGCCCTCTAGGGGACGCAGCGTAGAGTTCCCATTCAAAAGGGAACTTGGACGAGAGCAGAGCAGTATTATCATCAATTATCAAAAGAGATACAGTTGTTGGTTTCAATGTAGTCACACACTAACATGTTAAAACAAAGTAAAACTCTGTGCACATTATAGCAAGGCATGATAGGTTTGCGGGATTGCTTTGCACATAGTATTAAACATTCCTGAAACTTCCATCATCACAACTCTATGAATAATATAAAAAAATAATAAACTAAACAATTACACTTGCAGTAAGCACATATTTTGTGGTCAAAATAAGCCTAAAATTCAAAATAATAAGCCTGATTAGGGATAGCAAATATCCATTTCCAAAAGCATAAAAATAACTTGAAAAAAATCATTTGAAAAATTTTAATTACTTTATACTCACAGTTTTGGAAAATGTTAAATAGTCAGAAAATGTAAAAAAAAAAAAAAAAAAAAAAAAAAAAAATTTAGTTTTATTTATCATGTTTTTGTTTGCCATTCATCATCAATTTATTTATCATATGTATACTGTTTTATGTTTAATGTGTTTTTGTAAAGTCATAATTTTGTTATAATCCTATTTTGATTTGTTTACTATTTGCAATAGTTACTATTTACTTCTCAGTGTCCAGGTCCGAAAGCGTAAAGCAGGCACGAACTTATGTTCGTTTACATAAGCGCAGGGCAGTGAGCGCATGCAACACCATAAACAATTACGTCAACTTTCGGAGACTGCGCATGCAGTTTGTGGCGCTGTTGCGTAAACAGGTGTTCCGTCGTTGCGCATTCTCCAAAACATAACAAAAAAACTGACTGAAACAACAAAAGTAGTACTGAAGAAGTACTTTGCCAAACTTCACTTTTGCTACCCAAGTATATCGGTTTTCGTTCAGTGATTGTTGTATGAGTCAAAACATAAAATCACTTAACACATGACTTTTAAAAAAAAATGTTTATAAACTCAAATTACATCAATACACCATGACAAATACACACACACACACACAAAAAAAATATATAAAAAATAGAATAAAATATATATAAATATAAATATAAATATATATATATATATATACCTTTTTGCCCATGCAGGCGCATTAAAAAAAACAGGAATTATTCAACTGCTTTGAGAAGAATAATATTGGACACAAACCTCATTGCTTCTTAAGCATACTGTCAACACAGAATCTGAATGTGTGAAAGGGAACCAGATTTGAGGTTCTTCTCAATTTGAGAACTAGTCTCCCACCCTCCAAGCTGAAAGCATCATGTAGCAGTCCCATCACAAATAAGGATTACAAAAATCATCTGTAATATGGCCAAAAGTGTCAACCAAGCAGGTTTTGGGGGGGGGGGGGTTTGCAGTGAATGAGGTAGTTGCATCAAAGTCGCATGTAATGCCTGATTGGTTATCAAAGCAGTGTGAGGATTATGAGTCAACAATGAAATTTAGATACACACAAAGAATTCAGACACATAAACAAGCCCAGCCCCTTGGCTCCCATCTTCTCCCTTTGGCTTCAACCACGTCAGCTTATCATGTCGTTGTTTGAAGGCCTCGACCCTAGCCACCCGCCCACTCCTGACTCCAGTTAGGGGGCTTAAGGTTGAGGCAATACTTTAATGAATCCGATGTGGGAATTTTCAATATACGGTTCACACTCAACTAGTTATCCTGAATAATGAGAGCTGGAGAAGCCCACAGCTGGCCACAGTACAGCAAGACTCGGCTGCCAAACATTTATGATAATGGCCATTCACTAGCACAATGCGGGATTAGCAGCGCAATGAACTTGGAAAGTGTCCACCACAGTTCTCACTCCCTCTCTCTTCCTCACCCAGTCCCCATGCAAAAAGGTATGTATAAAATTTCATTTATAAAAACAAAACATTATAAGAAAATTGTCGTGAGCAATTTTGCTTCTCAAATAGATCCATCATGCTTAAAGAACATTTTAACTAGAAAAAAAAAGAAATTCTAATTAAGACTATTTTGGTCATGTTTGAAATAAATGCAGGTTTGGATGTTTATATTTGCATATCATTTTTAAATGACTTCATAGAGTCCTCTGTTGACAAGTTGTCATTGTGTGCACATCTGATCATACATCTGATGTGGATTTGTGTGCACGTTGTGCATCTGTGTGTGTTTTCGTGAGTCTTCTTTGAGGGTCGCTGCCATATTCTCTCTGTATTTTCTCATTTCAGAGGGTGATTGGTATTTGGATGGATTTGTCTATCAGACTCAGAGAGTGATGGCTAGAGCTTTTAACAAGTTAATTTTCTAGTCCAGTTTCCCTGTGATTGCTGGGAGACAGCACAATCCTGGGAGAATTAAGTCTTGCTATCTCCAGTGCTGCATTGTATTGGAGCCCTGCAAACCGCTCTGCTCCAAAGAAAGAGATTTAGATGTTGTGTCATTGACTGATAAAACACTCCATCCATACAGATTCAGACAGAGAGAGAGAGAGAGAGAGAGAGAGAGACATCAACATCCATTGGAAAATAAATACCTAATGCACATTCTTACAATATGCATGTTAACTCTTGATGATTTTATGATTGATAGTTTATACTTTTAAGTAGAAGTAAAATGCCTTTTAGTATAATTTAAAAAAATGTCATTGACTGATAAAACACTCCATCCATACAGATTCAGACAGAGAGAGAGAGAGAGAGAGAGAGAGAGAGAGAGAGAGAGAGACATCAACATCCATTGGAAAATAAATACCTAATGCACATTCTTACAATATGCATGTTAACTCTTGATGATTTTATGATTGATAGTTTATACTTTTAAGTAGAAGTAAAATGCCTTTTAGTATAATTTAAAAAAAATATGCATATACATGTCATTTTGCTGTGAAATCTTTAATGATTTTTATAAAGTAAATTTAAAAATAACTTGTATATTTAGTAATATTTAAAGATGAACATACTGGAGTGAAGCAACTCACTGTAGGTTTACTTGATTGTTTTTATTTTTTTTAATTATTTATGATTTCTTGCCCCACAATTAAAACTACAGAGCTCTGAACATAAAACTAACCATTATTTGATGCATAAGGCTTTTATGGCCCATATAGTATTATATATAGTGAGAATATGGAGCTCACACTCGAAAAAAAAAATATATATATATATATATATATATATATATATATTTTGGTCCTCGAGTGTGAGCTCCATATTCTCACTATATATAATACTATATGGGCCATAAAAGCCTTATGCATCAAATATTATACAAAACAAAAGTGTTTTAAATGATTAGAAACATACCTAAAGTTTCAATAAGCAGTTCAAAACTATTTTGTGTGTCAGGCTTTCCAGGTTAAAAATACTGCATTTTAAAATAATTCACATTTCATAATAGGAGACAATGCATGCTCCAAAAGACCTCATGTAGCAGAACTTTTAATAAATAATAATACATTTTCTTCAAGTATTCTTCATTTTTCTTTCCACCCTTCCCATTTACTGTATACCCGATTCCTTGTGAATTTAATGGCCAGCCACCATTTGAGTAATTTCATACAGCCAAGTCATCCATAACCAAGACAGAAACGAATGAAGACTTTAACACCTGCTGCTCCTGGTGTCCAACGTGGAGTTTGATATATAAGGGGGATGTCTGAAGAAATCCTCCTCAGGCGGGTTCCCCACCTTTCTGTCAAGAGACAGGGGTCATTAAGTGCTTTAATTTTTTTAATAGCAGAATTAATCCATTCTAATAGGTCACTCAGTTCAGAGGCAAATATAAGTAAGGCAAGGGAACAGAGCAATACATCTGCCTGCTAAACATACTAATGTGTCTGTTATTATTATTATTCTGGAAATAATTACCTCAGCCCTGAGAGGCATACCCGGAAAAATGAGGCGATCAGGAATGTCGGGATGAGAGAGGGCCTCTAAGGTGAATTAAGCAGGGACGTGCCCCGCAGGATTGCTGCTTGACACCGGCTGAGAGAAGATGAGATGGCGTCCTCGGGCCTCTTCATACTGACGGAGCTCTTGGGAGACAGAAAGAGACGAAGGCTGGGAGAGAGAAGAGGCTGCCACATGTATCCAAATGTCAAATTTAGTCCTGGAAAAGAAAAGAAAAATATGCATAGATATATTTTAGGAAATTTTCTCCTGGAATGGAAACAAACACAATGTTAAATGATCTGAGGGGGGAAAAACAGGAGACACTGGTGAGGTGTGTATCTGTATATTTTGTGTACAAATATGTGTACTGACAAGTTTATAGATAAACAGGCAAACTGAATATAATGGGCTTTTCACACGTGAAATTGTTAACCCAGGGATTTAAACCATGGATAAATGTAATCCCGGGTTATCCTATTGCATTTTTCCCATTGCTCATCCTTTATCATGTGTTACTAATTAATCCTGGTTAATCAAGTTTCAAGTTTTCACACTGCACACTTGTAATCCCCAGGTTAGCATTATAATTGACATATTTATGAGGTCAATAAAACAGTTTGGACAGTTTGCAATGGGTATACGTCTTTTTTAATAAAAATGCCTTTAATAACTGTCTGTAAAACTTTTGGCACCTAAATCCGCTCAAGTTGTTTTAAACTTAGATGAATAAATACTGCTTCATCTTTACTTAAATTAATGTGGTTTTATTGCATTTTTAGTTTAATTTCATTAACATTACTGTCACTTTATTTGTGTATATGTAGTGATTATATGTAATATACAGTACGTGACCATTCAAAATATGTTTTTTTAAGAAATATTTAGTTTTGTTATTTAGCAAGGATTAAATTGAGCATTACATTTAGCATTAAATCGGTTAAAAATGACAAAAAATATCTTTACAATGTTACAAAATATTTATTTTTAACTTTCTATTTGTCACGGAAACACCTGCCTCACCAGCCGAATCAGCCTCCTACACCCGCTCACAATCACCTGATTACTGATCACGGACACCTGCACCCACTTACCACACCACTCAAATACTCACTCACCTCATTCACTCATTGACTGGTCTCAAGGTTGCAAGCTATTCTGTCCTGATTCCTCGTCTTCCACTCTGCCTGTTCCCCTCGGAATCCTCAGTTCCCGGCCGAAGGATCAGAGTGCCGACCCAGATAAGGCTGTGTTTTGCTTCCCTTACTGCCTATGTTGAACTCTTTTTGGTTGGAAGCCTCTCTTAAGTTCCTGTGATTAAACTCTCTACTTAACGTTATCCTGCCTGTCTGCCTCTTAGTCCCGGTTGTGACAGAAGACCAGTCCCGCAAAACAAAACGGATTACAACACGGACTATGGATCCTCAGAGCACCTCCTCACCAGAACCCTCACCCAGTCGGACTTTCACCCCCTCTCTGCCCGCCTGTCCCATGGCCCGGCCAGCCAGCTTCTCGGGTGAGGCAGCCCTCTGCAGCGGGTTCCTGCTGCAATGCTCCCTCTATCTGGAGATGCAACCGCACCTGTTTGTGACCGAATGGGCCAAGGTGTCGTTCATCATCTCGCTACTGTCGGGACGAGCCTTGCAGTGGGCCGAAGCCTTGTGGACGGGCCAGAGCCCGTGCATTCACTCACTGGAGGGCTTTATTCAACACTTCCGGGAGGTATTCGGTCAATCGACCACGGAAGTAATGGTGCATGAGGAGCTCTTTCAACTACGGCAAGCCGAACTATCCATCCACGGATATGTGCTGCGCTTCCGCACACTCGTCGCCAGCAGCGGCTGGGACGAGGCCGCGCTGCTCTCGGTGTTCCGCCGAGGCCTCAACCCAGGCTTACGCCGACAGATGGCCATCTATGATGACACCGTGGGCCTCGACAGTTTCCTCCAGAAGGCGGTTCGCATCTCCCAGCACCTAACCGCGTGCCCTATGGAAGCGATACCCGCTGCCGCTGCCTCGCCCGGCCTCTCCACTCCAGCACCAGAGCCCATGATCACGGACAGCTACCACCTGTTGTCCTCAGAGCGATCTCGGAGACTCACCCATGGGCTATGTCTCTACTGTGGGTCCCAGTGGCAGCTCCTCCCGAATATCAGGCATTCCAGGACGTGTTCAGCAAGCTTGCTGCCACTCACCTGCCACCTCACCGGCCATGGGACTGTGCCATTGACCTGCTGCCTGGGGCCCCATTTACCCAAAGGACGTGTCTATCCCCTGTCGATCCCGGAGAGAGCTGCCATGGAGGAGTACGTGCAGGAAGCCTTACATCAGGGGTTCATCTGTCCATCCACCTCACCCGCAGCGTCGAGCTTCTTCTTCGTGGCCAAGAAGGACGGGGTCCTAAGACCCTGCATCGATTACCGGGCCCTAAATGACCAAACTGTTAAGTTCGCCTATCCCCTTCCTCTGGTCCCGGCAGACTTGGAGGAACTCCGCGGAGCCTGTGTGTTCAGCAAGCTAGATCTCAGGAGTGCATACAACCTCATCCGCATTCGCCGGGGTGACGAATGGAAGACCGCCTTTGTCACGCCCACCGGGCACTACGAATACCGGGTCATGCCTTATGGGCTTTCCAACTCCCCTTCCATTTTCCAGAACTTCATGAACGAGATCTTCCGAGACATCCTCAATCGGTTTGTCCTCATCTACATCGACGACATTCTCATTTACTCACCCACGCTCGAAGCCCACCGTCACCATGTCACCCAAGTCCTCAAGCACCTCCGCCAACACCACCTGTTCCTCAAGGCCGAGAAGTGTGAGTTCCATCAGTCCACGGTTCACTTCCTAGGATATATCGTCACCCCGGCCGGAGTACAAATGGACCAGAGGAAGGTGGAAGCCATTCAGAACTGGCCCCAACCCAGTACCATCAAGGAGATGCAGATGTTCTTGGGGTTCGCCAACTTCTACCGCCACTTCATCGCCCACTTCAGCCAGATGGCGGCGTCCCTTACCGCTCTCCTCCGACGGAAGGCCAAACTCCTCACTTGGACCCCAGATGCCCACCAGGCTTTCAGCCAGCTCAAGGCCGCCTTCTGTACGGCCCCGGCCCTGTCACACCCAGACCCCAATCTCCGCTTCCTGGTCGAGGTAGACGCCTCGACCCTGGGAGTGGGCGCCATCTTATCACAGTGGCGAGGTGAACCCCCTGTGCTCCATCCATGTGCGTACTTCTCACGGAAGTTATCCCCGGTGGAGCAAAACTACGACGTGGGAAACCGGGAGCTACTAGCCATCAAGCTCGCCCTGGAGGAGTGGCGGCACTACCTCAAATGGGTGCTTGGCACCCTCCAACCAATCACCGACCATAAAAACTTGCAATACCTCCGAGAGGCCAAACGTCTGAACCCTAGGCAGGCCCGCTGGGCGCTGTTCTTTACCCGCTTCCTCTTCGTGGTCACTTACCGTCCCTAGACGAAGAATGTCCGCGCGGACGCACTTTCCCGCCTACACCAACCGGATCCGACCCTCGAAGAACCCGAGCCCATCCTGCCGCCTGCCATCTTCATGTCTCCCATTCAGTGGGCTCTCACTGACCAGATCCGTGCCGCCACTCTCACCGAACCCGCTCCGCCGGGAGGCCCAGAAGGGAGGAGCTATGTCCCATCCACCCTGCGTGTCACCCTTCTGGACTCAGTTCACACCTCTCCGGGATCGGGGCACCCAGGCAGCCGCCGAACCCTCTCGCTCCTCCAGAGCCACTACTGGTGGCCCCACATGGCCCGGGATGTCGCCCGGTATGTCAGGGGATGCTCGGTCTGTGCCATCACCACCACGCCACGTTGTCTACCCGAGGGGAAACTGGTTCCTCTACCCATCCCTCGCCGTCCCTGGTCCCACCTGGGGGTGGACTTTGCTACGGACTTACCTCCCTCCAACGGATTCGCGACCATCCTAGTGGTCGTTGACCGATTCTCTAAATCCTGCAAACTCATTCCCCTGCGGGGACTACCTACCGCCCTGGGAACCGCCGAAGCTCTCTTCCAGCATGTGTTCAGGAACTTCGGCCTCCCCGAGGACATTGTTTCGGACCGAGGACCGCAATTCACCTCCAGGGTCTGGCGAGGGTTCTTCCGCCTCCTGGGAGCATCCGTCAGTTTGTCCTCGGGATACCACCCACAGACCATTGGCCAGACCGAGCGGAAGATCCAAGAGATCGGACGGTATCTTCGGGCCTACTGTCATGACCACCAAGACAGCTGGAGCCAGTACCTACCCTGGGCCTAGTACGCCCAGAATTCCTTACGCTAGGAAACCACAGGACTCACCCCATTCCAATGTGTGCTCAGTTACCAGCCGCCCCTGTTTCCTTGGACCGAGGATCACTCAGAAATCCCAGCGGTAGATCACTGGTTCCGTGAGAGTGAGAGGGTATGGGACTCAGCACATATCCATCTCCAGCGGGCCGTCCGGAGGCACCGGGCCAACGCAGAAACTCGTCGGTCGGACAATCCCCTCTACGAGCCAGGGGACCAAGTCTGGGTGTCCACCCGGGACATCCGCCTCCGGCAGCCCAGTAAGAAGCTGAGTCTCCGGTACATAGGTCCTTTCCCCATAGCAAGGCGCATCAACAATGTCACGTACCGGTTACACCTGCCTGCCCATTATCGGATCTCCCCCACCTTTCACGTGTCCTTGCTAAAGCCCTTCACTAATCCTCTTCTCCCTCCCTCCACAGAACACGAGGTACCCCCCCCCTCCGCCCGAGGTTGTCCCCGACGAAGTCATCTACCGAGGCAGGGAGATCCTCGAATCCCGGCGGCGAGGCGGCCGGCTTCAATACCTTATAGACTGGGAGGGGTACGGTCCTGAGGAGAGGGCATGGGCAGACAGAGAGCACATACTGGACCCATCTCTCCTCAACGACTTCCACCAGGCTCATCCAGACCGCCCCGCTCCCAGGAGCCGCGGTCGTCCTCGCCGTCAATCTCGGGCGTCGGGAGACGCCCGTGGGGGGGGTGATGTCACGGAAACACCTGCCTCACCAGCCGAATCAGCCTCCTACACCCACTCACAATCACCTGATTACTGATCACGGACACCTGCACCCACTTACCACACCACTCAAATACTCACTCACCTCATTCACTCATCGACTGGTCTCAAGGTTGCAAGCTATTCTGTCCTGGTTTCCTCGTCTTCCAGTCTGCCTGTTCC